CCACCACCACCACCACCACCACCATCACCACCATCGTCACCGTCACCACGTAACACCGAGTCATTGGATATTCATTGAGTATCACGAAGGCCGATAATGATAATCCGTTGGAAGAATGCTGCGGTCTCAGAGGCCACAGTTATGCAGGCCAACTAGCCGCATGTCAATTTGTTCCCCGTTGGTCACCCGTTACTGTCGGTATCGGTGATACTTGGGCATAAGATGATCGCGGAAGCGAGCGCGGATACGGTGTACGGTGTCGTCCTCCACCCGGCTGATAGGGTGACTTTTTAGCGGTTCCCTAAAAAAGCGAGTGGAAAAGGGGAGGAAAGAGGGTGCACGCACGGAATCTCGGGATTTCGAGACTCGGGGGAAATAGAAACGTGTACGTGGCGAGATTTTAGAGCGATATTTGAAGAGACGTGCCCCTCCTGACTATTTCTTTATCTGTTGAAAGTTCAGTCGAGCAGTCTTGGAGATTTTAAAAGGAGATATTATATTTTTTGTAATTAATTTATAATTGCGGATGATTGGTGTAAGTATTTTCTTTCTTCTTTTTCTTATTATTATTATTTTTTTTAGGAAAGTTTCTTCAATTGCGTTTTATTATGCGGTAAAAAGAAGAGTAAGAATTTCAAGTCACTTTCTGATCCACGCGTTTCACGTTAAAATGTGAACATCGTATCTCAAGTTGGGTTAAATTAAACCACTTACTTATGCATCATTGAAATAAGGAAATAAGAAAGTTCGAGCATAAAATATAATGTATGGGATAAATGGTTAAACATTTTTTTACGGCTGCAAATATTACGAAGGCTTCCAACTTGGGAACTATTCAATTCACCTCTATAATAAGCGGAGATTTTAACGCGTGAGACGAGATAAGTAATGCAAGAGATCCTCCATTCCGGTGTCGTAAAATTTGAAATTCCCTCTTTCCTCTTGTCCAGACAGCTTATTTCGTCACGAGATAAAAGTTACAGGGCGCAAAGGTGTCACCGGCACCGTTATGAGAGCAGACAGCTTTACGATCTCGGAGCAAAAGCCAGTTCAATTTACCGAAAGGTCGTTAACACGGTTCCTCGACCGGCAGAGTTAAAAGTATTTCGATGAAAGTTTTTCAAGTGGCTTCCAAAAAAATACCGTACGAATCTTTTTTTTTTTTTTCTTTCGTTTTAATAAATATTTTGTTTCATATTTGTCGCAAATTGAAATCATTGTTAAATTCTTCGGTTAATTTTTCATCATCAAATTTTTCAAGGGATATATATGTATATATGCAGAAGCGTGAACTGACGTAATCCATCTAATTGGCACAGTTTTTGATACGAACTGATACTATAACTAATCACTGGGTCAACGTTCGTTTCTTATTAACGACAATTAACACTTGGGCATAAACGTTTACCAGTACGATGTGTCCAGTATTGCCATACGTGATACGTGATTGTATCACGATTTCCTCGATCCAGCCTCCAGTAGAGGATCAAAGAAGAATTCTCAAGATAATAAAGATCAGCTTTCAATCTAATGGTATACAATTATATCCCATAGTCACAATTATGGTTCGGTTAATAGTATAGCATCAAATTGACAACTTTCAATAAACACTAACTTGATTGAACGAAACATCCATCCTCAATTATTTATATAATAGATATATCAAAATGAGATTAAATAATTTTTCGTTTATTTTTTACTACTAACGTTGAAATTGGAATGATGATACTCAGATGATACCTTGCTTGTAAGTATTTAGAACATTCTAAATTGTTAGAGAGTTTTCTGCAATAATTTTTTTATATTAATTAATTAACGACAATTTAGAATTATGTACACAGCTATCTATAGATATTTTAGAAAATGTCTTCAATTCCCTTTTTCCAAATTTTGTAACAAAGATTGTTGTCGTTTCTTTTCATTTTAGTAGAATTAAATTATCATTAAAATGCAATTAATAATGCAGGTATAATAAGTGGTAAGAATTTTTAATTGGAAAATTAAGATAAAAAAGATTTTTTTTTTTAATCTAAGTTCTTTGAATTGCAGTACGATATTTAATGAAGATTCAATGACTCGTAATGTCTGCCATCGACTTTTTTGCGACCCGAGGCATACCATAATATTTAGCTAGTTATCGTGGGAGGATATGTATCACGGATCCGAAGAAACGAGTCTTCGCGGAAATCGATAGTGGAAAGGAAAGTAAATTTTTCGTAGAAAGATATCGCTGACCCGATGTGAAAGTCTTTAATGAGAGGTATTCGAACGATAACCGACTGAAATTAAATGATTTACCAAGTTTGAATTACAGTCGCAATATTCTTGATAAGCGTTTTATCTTGTACAGGCATTTGGTCTGTAGTTGAATGTTGCTTAGGGCAACAAGTGAATTTTATTGATCGAAAGTTGCCGCTTTAAGAGAGAGAAAATATATTGAAATTTTCACCTGATCCTGGATCGTGGATTGCAGATTAAGATGTTTCTTGAAATAATAATGTGTTGCAAGTTTTTTTATTGATCGATAACTGTTCATTAATAACGTACGATTTTCTATTGAAATTTTTAAATTGAGCATCTGGTAGAGAAGACGATTTGATGATTTTATGTATTGTATAAATCACACGATGACAATGAACTTGTTTATTTTTTGTAATTGAACATTATCTTTTTAATTTTATCTTTTCATTTCAAATTGAAAAGAATCGAGTCAATGGAAGATTGAATATTTCATAAATATAAAAGATATGAAGAAAATTTTCAATTGCTGAGAGGTATTTTGAGGTATTTTTCCTCTTTTGTAAAAAATGCGAAAGCAACAAAATTTTTAATTTCATTAATTTCATAAAGTTTCGTAAATTGTGACTCTTAGAAGAAGGAAAATACTAATGATTGATTTTACTAATTTTCATGGATAAAAAGAATTAAATTTCTTCAATTATCAATCAAACACAATAACGTTCTCTTGAAGTTTGCGATTGAACGGTTTAATTGGAATGCAGCGAGATGAAATAGAAGACACAAAGAGAGACGATGCGAATGACATTTCCTTCCTCGAGCGAGCAGGATGCGGGTTCATACGGGTGTTCGTACGGGTTCGGTGTTATAATGAGGTCAAGGCGTTTAATTATACGTTGAAGACATCGTCGTGTCCTAAATATTAAGATTAAAATTCGATAAATTCAGTTTGATGGACATTGATGGAAGACATAATTACCTTCGATAAACATTTGTAATAATACTAAAAAATTTGTTAAGTAAAATGATTATTACATTAGTTATCCCTTAGAATGTGACACGTTCGTCAAATTTCTCCAATTAAAAATTTATATCACATTTCCTTCTATACCTTCATATTTCTGCAACATCTTCTATATTTCTAATTCAATCAAAAGCACGTTCAACATCGTGTCTCGATCACTCGCACCCCCATCTCTTCCGCCACGCATTCCACGCCATTCGATTCCAAATTTAACTTCTCTCGAAACGTCTCGATTCACCTCGTTCCCTCGATAATCTCATCAACTAATACACGAAATTTTCCATCCAAGGAAAAAAGAGAAGGAAAAAAGTCCATCCATCGAATCGAGCCGCGCTTACTTGCACGCGGAATTATGGATGGAAACCGCGTCGTTAAGGTTCATTAGGCGGTAAAAAGGGTGGAGCATCGTGCGAACGCAGGCGGAATATCGCGGACGGTGCAAAAAACCGCGGGAAACAGTTTTAACCGGGCGTGTTCGTGGTTGCATTTCTGGTAATTTCGCCGGAACAATATAAAGGAGGGGGCAAAAAGCATCCCTCTCCTCTGACAGATACGAGTTTATTTACAGAAACGGTTTTACTGCGACGAACGAGGAGCGCGTCAGGTACTCGCGTCCGGCACTCCGCATATAGAACATCCGCTCTGGTGGTGGCGTGCGAGAAGATGCGCTTTTATGCGCTGCCTATGCGTTCCAGGGACTATCAATCAGAGAATAGAATTTCTTCTTCTGAGTAAACGAAGAACGGAGAGCAGAAATTTTTGTAAGGATATTATGTTGGCGAATAAATTTTATTCTTGCGTTTATTGGATTATAAATATTTGTATGTTTTTTTTTTGTAGATGTAAAATAGGTGAAAAAAGATTCTTTAAGCCAAAAGGGGATTATATTATCTGGTTTTTACTTGTTGAAAATTGAAGATCAAGAAAAAAATCTTTATACTGCTTATACAAAAGAGACAAGGAATGATTTTTAAATTTGATTTAAAATTGTTATTATTCTTTCTATGTTTTTTTCTGAAATCATTTTATCGAATCTTGAAACCCCTGTTGATTTAGATTCAGAGAGGGATGTGCTTACTCGTGGGAAGGTGTATTGAATCTGGAATGGAATTGTGATTGTGACTTGGATCTTGAGATTTTGGGAGAGCACGAATCTATATCTATTTTGTAAATGTTCGATTGAATTGACTGAGATACGTGAGAGAAATATATAATGCAGTACATTTAAAAAGCAATTTTCGTGATATAGAAAATTTAAAAATATTATTTAGATAAAAGCTGTTCGTGCATGAACTCTTGCATAGGCCTCTCTTTATCATTTCTATCTTCTGAGAAAATAAAAAAATTTCAATCAAACGAAGCGAAATGCATTATATAGTAATGAAACGAAGATGTGAGTATAATATACGGTCTAAGGAAGATTCGATGTCAAACGTAATCGATTCTGCTTGATATGGCAGCCCACCTAATAAGGAATTCATTGGACGTTGTCATTGACAAAGACCAGCTCAATATAGCGACACACGTTGCTATATTGAGATATTTCACCTCGATAGTACTCTCGATTGCCTTTTTAGCAATTCGTGTACTACGAAGGACGCTCGACTG